TATTTCCAGAAGGAGCCATTCACAGCCCTTCTTTTCTCCCAAAGCCCAGAGACAAAAGTGCCCAGGTGGAGATGTGTCTAGATGGAGAGTTAAAGTATTAGCATTGTCTTTGGGAGGGTCCCTTCCCAGTGCTCAGGCCTCTGCTGCCCAGTCACCTCATTGTTTGCCTGCAGGGTGGGGCTGGGGTTTCTCAAACTTTGACTCACTTTCAGAAATGAGTCCTGCCTGTGTCCTCCCCTCCCTGAAAGGCTTACAGGCACACACCTGCTCTCAGGTGCCTGCTCCCTTGATGGGAAGATGCAGAGCCTGACTTCCCGGTCTCAATAGAACATAATCCTTTGAGGATGAGATAATAGATGTGGGACTCAAGATTGGCCAAGCAACAGTTCCGTGACTTGGCCAGGTGGCAGGGGGAGGGAAGGGGACTATAGAGTTGCTATTCCACATAGCTTCTGAGGGCCTGACTTACGTGGAGGAGTGGTTTAAATGGAATGGTTTAGGGGTGCCAGAAAGTCTCCCTTCCTCCTTTGAAAGAATAACCCACAGCCCCAGACAGTCAGGGTGTCTGGAAATGAGCCACTAGAGATTTAAGAGACTTGGGGCCACCTCTCCTTCTGGATTCAAGATCCATTCACCATCAGAGCCACAGTTCTCTCATCTAGAAAATATATCATACAATAACCTTTCTTCATAGAGCTTTGTGAAACCTGTATATGGAGGTGCTTTACAAAGTATAAGGACTAATAAAAATGCACCTGTGCATGGCAGGGTGGGGAAGAGGGATCAATTAGAGTCTCAGAAGAGAGAGGGAGAGCAGGCTGTGTGGGTACAGAGCACATGAGTGCCAGAGAGGAAAGAAGAGGGGAAGCTGGTGCAAGAAGAGGTAGAGACCACGAGAACCAACTTTCTAATTTTGTCATCAATGTAGACCTCTGTGAAGAAGCTGTTCAGTGGCTCAGTCACTCGGGCTGACTGAGAATAGCCGTAAAGTCAGGGGACCTGTGATCCAATCCCAGCTTTGACATGAACCCCTGTGTGAACTTGGGCAAAGCATGTCTCCATGCTGAGTCTCAGTTTCCCCATCTGGGAATGGGGGTGATGCAGCCAAAAGGGAAGGTGAGTGCCAGGAGTTTAAAAAGTGTAATGTACTCAATGCATGTGAGTTTGACTGATTCTGGATATTTATGATCTAGTGGATATGACCCTTAAAGGACCAGCCATGTATAGGTCTCTATTCCTGTCACCCTGATGTCTTCTCTGAGATGACAGTTGTTTTATAATTGGAGTTTTATCACTAGACACAATTCTCAAAACTAAGCAGTAATTATTCATTGACAAAGTTAGAGGCAGGAGTCATTTGCTGACAAAGTAGAAAGTCAATAAGCACATTGGGAAAGGGAGGACTAATTTTTATTCCAGAGAAGCTACTGCGGATGACTGAGACATGAGAGGATAAAGCTACCCATCCATTCATATACAGCACACATATAATTGTGACTTCTATGTCTAGACATATGAAAATGCTTTGATTTATGTCCATGCTAAATTTTTCTTGCTACGTATTTCCCATTTGGAGAGTTTACATCAGGATGAGCATAAGGGGCATGGAAGGGTGGAAGTGAGGGGTACAGATAGAGAAGGTGTTTGTTTTGGAGATGGACTGCAGAAGCAGGAATCTGGAACCTAGAATGTTACACTCAGAGTTGATGGCCTTTGAAGGAGGTGAAAGAGGAGACCTGGGTGGGGGTGGGGGGAATTAAGGGAAGGGTTAGCTTTTAATTGAGGCTGACCCAGAAAAATGAGCATTATTGGGTACGGATATGAAGGAAAGCTCAGAGAAGAGAATTCGTTATGGTCCCCCCCTGCCCAATGACAGTCACTTGTCTCCCATGGAGATACCAGTCACTATAATTTAGTGGAAACGAGCCCTGAGCCAGTGTCCCCCACCCCCACCCCAGCTCTATCCTCACTAGTCAATTGTTGTTGACAAGGTCATTGAACTTCTTTGGACCTATTTTTTAAACTGTAAAATCAAACTTACACTACCTGGCAGAATTGTCATGAGGATTAAGTGAGACGAGGGGCTTGAAAAGCACTTTGGAAAGTACTTTGTACACAGGAAAGCACAATACATGTGTGAGGCACCCCTGTCATTTCACAGGCAGCTGTACACTTTGCTCTGACAGTGAGAGAAATGAGCAAAAATGTGGCCTCCAGTGGGGCAGGATTCTGAGTTTTGGGGCAATGGCTCAAAGGTGAATCAACCTCCCAGAGCAAGCAGGCCTCTCTCCCAAGGGCTGGAAGACCAAGTGGAGGAATGAGGCTCTTTCTTCCACCTGAATAGGTCCCAAGTAGAGTTTCCATGTTTCACAAATAAAAACAAAAGGTGCCCAGTTAAATTTTAATTTCAGATAAATATTTTTTTTTTTTAGTGTAAATATGTCTCATGCAATATTTGGTATATACCTAGTCTAAACTTGTTGCTGCTGTTGGATATCTGAAATTTAAATTTAACTCGGCATATTTTATCTGGCAAGCCTAACCCAGAGGCCAAATTCTATGTCACCCCCTTTGCCCACAACTAATGCCCATCAGCCGCCCAGCTCCTAGTGGGCAGATAGGGCACAACACCGCTATGTTGTTCACCTTAGGGTGCCATTCATGTTATCTTCTATTTGTGCTCAGGGGAAGCCTCATAGAATATTGTGTGAATGGTTCCCACTGGATTAAGAGAAACACTAGTACTGTGTAGGGTTGCTATGAGTTGGAACCGACCCAACGACAACGGGTTTAACAGGTTTTGTGTAATAAAGCAGGCTAGACTTTTGACTTCTACCTATAATGTTTAAGGGTCTAGGGTCTTTGAATTATTCGGATTTGAGTTCAAATCCCATCTCTGCTTTTACAGTCTCAGTGTTTACTACCTATGTGCTCTTTCTCAGCCTCACTTTTCTCATCTGCCAAATGGTAACAATGACATCTGCCTTGTAGGGGTTCTGTGAAGATAAAATGAAATAATGTACATCAAGTGTGATCTCTGTGCCAGGCTCAATAAATGGTAGGGGTTAGCAGCAAAGGTGATGTTTAGATTTTTGTCACAAGTGCCCCAAGCCCCACGCTCTCTCTTCTTCATCCTTCCTCAACATTTCTTGCAATTCACAGTCTGCAAACAGCTCTTTAGGTTTGTTCTACTTTCAAAAAACCTTGAGTCCTTGAGTTTGAGCAAACACTTCAGGGGGGTTAAGTCAGCTCAGGTAGACAGGGACCTGGAATGCTGGAAATATCTGGTGGGTGTTTTCCATCAAAACAGGCCCGTAAAGCAAGTCTCTGGGGAAGTGCAGGTGGCCGAAGTGGGTGAGGAATTCCCTGGGAGGTGATAATCTGTTCTCCTGGGTTCTACTGGGCTGTTTCCTTCTCCTTGAACTGTCTGGAGCTGCTAGGTCAAGTTCCTCTCCGCTTCTTGAGCAAACAGGGAAGTGACATAAACCTCCTGACAATTAAGGAAATGTCACACTAATAGTTACTTAGCGAATTCAATCTCCATTCCGCACTATCGCTAGGTATGACTAATTTCCTGATTCTGGGTTTGACTCCTTGGTAAGAGGATTTTTCTCACCATGGAGAGATATTTAGAGATGTAGCATTTTGTAGCAATTCTGAGCCCCCTCTTTCTCATGCCCTGTTCTACCTTCCTGGCCCTGCTAGGCAACCTTTGTCAAACTTTGCTTTTTGGTTTACAGAAACAGGTACAGAATATTATATTTTATACTATGCAGCTTCCACACCTCACTAGTCTAAGGGCCGCCTCCCCTCTTTCTGGATCCCACACTGTTGTTGTTGTTAGTTGCTGTTGAGTCAATTCTGACTCATGGAGACCCAATGTGCTGCAACATAAAACTGTGTTCCATAGAGTTATCAAGGCTGTGAACTTTCAGAAGCAGATTGTCAGGCCTATCTTCTGAGGTCCCTCTGGGTGCGTTCCAACTGCCAACATTTTGCCTAGTATTCAAGAGTGTAACCATTTGCAGCACCCAGGAACTCCTACCTGGGGTCTATACTTCCTATTTATAATCACTATCATAAAAGTTGAAGGATGCTGTCTGCCAAAAAAAAAAAAAAGACAAGGAGACACATGTCAAAGCTGACAAGTTCTCAGAGACCTTCCAGATCAGCATCCTCCAAATAAGGGCAAGGAGATCCAGAGGAGGAGATTTCCCAGGGGTGTGCTTGGCCATCATGTGGCAGATTTGGATCTAGAACCTGTGGCTGTGCTTCCTTGGTCAGTGCTCTCTCTGAGCCACGCTTCCTCTTGGCAAAACGTCTTCCTCATAGTTGTTTGCCTCCAGTGATCCCTTTGGCTCTCAAATCCCTCAGTGGAGGGTTGGAACTATTGTCCTACAGCCACGCTAAATGACTTGCCTTAACATCCTTTGGCGAATCAGGATGGAGCAGGGATTAGAAGTCAGGCCTCAGAGTTCCTGTACAAGCTTTCTCCAGTCCCATCACAAAAACACCATGGTACTTCCCTCTAGGACAGACAGTGCCTCTTCCCTCTTATTCATGTCCATCCATTCTTGTCCACACATTGTTTGATTATTCAAGGTAGCAAGCTGGCATTGCCTAGATACATCAGCTAAGAGTTAAAGCCTTGATCTTGTAAAATGTCTGGGCTATTTTTTAATCCTCAACTCAGCATCCCCCCTTATTTTCCTAGTAAGACTGAGAAATAAATTATATATTAGTAAGTCAGGAGCCCATGGGAGGACGAAGAAAGATACAAAATTAGGACAGCATAAAACTAGGAAGAAAGAGAGAGAGCGGAAGATAGCAATGGGTGCATGTGGAACAATCCATTAACCAATTGAGGCTATTAATCACTTACCATGTCCTTGGATGTTGGAGGAAAATGATCTTCTAGAAGTTAGTAGAGAGGGAGAAACGGTGGGAGCCCTTCTCATGGTATGCATGGTTCTCTTCCAGGTTCACATGTTCCTGTTGCAATGTCTTCCCAGCAGCAAGAGCAGCAGCAGTGCCCACCCCAGAAACCCCAGCAGCAGCAGGTGAAGCAGCCCTGTCAGCCACCCCCTGTCAAATGTCAAGAGACGTGTGCACCCCAAACCAAGGATCCATGTGCTTCCCAGGCCACAAAACAATGCTCACCCAAGGGCACAGCCACTGCAGTCCAGCAGAAGTGTCCACCAGCCCAGCAAGCCCCAAAGAGTAAACAGAAGTAAGGATGGACTGGGGATTACCATCTATCCACCAACCAAGCTACCAGATGGAGCCCTCTCTTCTTCAGGATTTGCCTTTCTCCCCCTCTTCCTCCTACCAGGGGTCCAATGGAGCATTGTAAGTGTTTCCTGACAATACACCCCTCATCATACACACTCCTTTTCTCTAAGGCTGTGCCAAACACCACTCTGATGTGCTCTCAGGTGGACATGAGAAAAGGATCATCCTCTCTAACTTCCAGCTTGACCACAACTGTGGCCCCACCCATCCCAAAGCAAGGAATGTATCTGAGCTCCTTCTAGGGCTTGACCCTGACTATTAAGGACACCAGAGGCTAATGCACAGCATCTGGCCCATTCTCTTCTCCTACTGCCCCCTCTCTGGGCCTCTCTCCTATTTCCTCCCTGAATAAATTGGTGCTCCATGTAATTGTCTGCTTCGTAGTCTGATTACACCTCCCCATTCCCAGACCCATTCTGTGATCCTTTCATTGGTTCAGAGGGAATATTCTGGGGAAGTGAGTGTGTGAGCGTGTATGTGTCCATGAGTGTACCCATATGGGCTCAGTTACTTTCTGGTTACTAATGATGGGGGAAGGTCAGATCCTGTCCCATCTCAGGTTAAGGAGCAGGGACAACAAGCCGAGACTAGTTGGCAGGAGTCTGGGATACTCTTGCTAATTTTTCTCATCTAGGAAAGGGCATGGGGAGGAAATGTTTAGCTCCTACCAGCAGAAGCCCTCAGTCCACCTGATGAATGTGGTCTTTGCCTCTTGGAAGTTGCCATTCTGAAAAGGGAGACAAAACAAACATAAATGACTTAAGAATACCCCAAAGCCTTTCTACAAATGTGTGCAAATGCATTTTTTATTTATTTCTTTCATTTATTGTTCATCCATGTATTCATTAACTTACGCATTCACTCACTTATTCAGTCACTCATCTAATATTTAGCAAGTTTTAGTATGAGCAGTTCTACTCTGTCACATGGGGTTGCTATGAGTTGAAAATTGACTAGACAGCACCCAAAAACAACAATGGTATGAGCTTAGTTTTCCACTCTGACACACTGGTTTTCCAGAGAGATCCTGAGACAATCTCTCCTGGGTCTCAGGCTAGTCTTTGGAAATTAATATCATTTTCTTATACAAGGAGAAGTTGTTCCAGGGATATCTATGTAGAGAGAGTTGGTGAAGTAGATAGATCTTGGTTTTCTCAGTTAAAAAATACCGCCAGTTGCCATGGAGTCAGTTCTGACTCATGGTGACCCCCATGTGTGTCAAAGTAGAAATGTACTCCATAGGGTTTTCAGTGGCTGATTTTTGGAACTAGATCACCAGGTCTTTCTTTCCAGGTGCCTCTGGGTGGACTCAAACCTCCAATATTTCAGTTAGCAGATGAGCACTTTAACCTTTTGCATAACCCAGAGATTCCTTTGTCTGTTAGTCCAACACCGTATGGCTTATAAGAGAAGTCCTGTCTTTACAGCTCGCTACTTCCTGACCCTGGGTGAGACGGGCTGCCCGTATTATAAAGATGCAGTAAACCTTCCAGATGTAGAAAATAGATGTCTTTGATGGAAAGACCCTGCATGGGAAGGAATAGCTAAACACACAGCTACATTCTCTCCCCTTGAGCTTTATTCTTTCCTTGGGATTTGCTCAATGAATTCTAGTTGCTAACATAGACAATGGCAAGAATGAATTGCTACTTCATTTAACACACTGACCTGAAAAGGTTCCCATTTCCCTTAAAATAGCCATCTTTAGCTGATATTTCCAAGTAGCAATTACTTAAAACTTTGTGGGCACAGGCATTCACCAGGAAAGTCAAAGTATCATAAACACAACCAAGAATCAGAAGTGGATTCTTCTAACCTTAAGAATTCCTCACCAATCTTCCTGAGCCCCAACCCCTGCAAAATGAAATAACTCTACTCTGTCAAGCAAGCAGGCTGGTATATTTTATCAGTTACCTTGCCCATCTTCCTTCTATCTATACTCCAGTCAGTTTTTTTGTCTCACAGTTTCTAAATGCCACGTCCATGTCTCCCAGAAAGCCCCTCACAGTCCTCCACAGATTCTTAGGTGCCAGGGTGACACATTTGCATAGTCTTCAGCTAATTGACAGGACAGAGTGATTGGAGCAATGAGTGCTTTCCAGTAATTTGTGTCTCAGGCTATTAGCTCAGTGGGGAGGGAGAGACACCCATGCCTTTCACAGCAATAGTCAAGAACAAAGTCCCATCTCTATGAATATGTGAGACCCCATTCCCCTCATAGCAATTTTTTTTAATTATATATTTGTGCTCATTTTATTTTATTTCATTTGTGTAATCAATCATATTTTAATTCTTTTTTAAAATTTTTTATTGTACTTTAGATGAAGGTTTATGGAAAAAATAGTTTCTCATTAAACAGTACATGTATTGTTTTATGACATTGGTTAACAACCCTACTACATGTCACCACTCTCCCTTCTCGACCTTGGGTTCCCTTTTCCAGCTTTCCTGTCCCCTCCTGCCTTGTAGTCCTTGTCCCTGGGCTGGTGTGCCCCTTTAGTCTTGTTTTGTTTTATGGACCTGTCTAATTTTTGACTGTAGGGTGAACCTCGGGAGTGACTTCATTACTGAGGTAAAAAGGTGTCCAGGGGCCATACTCTTGGGGTTTCTCCAGTCTCTGTCAGGCCAATAAGTCAGGTCTTTTTTTGTGAGTTAGAATTTTGTTCTACATTTTTCTCCAGCTCTGTCCAGGACCCTCTGTTGTGATCTCTGTCAGAGCAGTCAGTGGTGGTAGCTGGGCACCATCTAGTTGTACTGGACTCAGTCTGATGGAGGCTGTGGTAGTTGTGTTCCATTAGTTTTTTGGACTAATCTTTCTCACAGGGAATGTTTTTATTCAAGTCCACCCATCAGAAGTTCACAAAATAACAATGCCTTATGTCAATGGGGAGACATTATACGTCATTCAGTTTGACTTCTTCGAGGGCTAAAGAGAAAACTAAAAAGGTCTCCCATAATTCCTATACACTCTAAAGTATAAAAACTCTTAGACTACTCCAAAATTCCCCTACAAGATCCAAAATGTGTTACAATCCAGCAACAGTAGAAAATTCACTTTTGCCCAAACACACCATTCAATTTCAAAGCCTCTGTTTTTCAGCTCATGATATTGCTACTGCCTAGAATATTAATTTTCCGCTTTGCTCTCCAGGGGATCCTTTTTGTTTTAATGGTCTGGTTCAAATATTTTTATGGAGCCTTACTTATCCCTTTAGACAGAAGTGGTATTTCCCATAAGCTCTCCTAACACTTTGTACCAGTTTCCGTTATTAATTAATTATTATAACTATTTTATGAATTATAATTTGTTTTATGCTCCCTATTAAATTGTGAGCCCTTGAAGCCTACAAGTTTTATTGATCTTACCATTCCCAAATGCACCATGAATGGGTTTGCAAAAATACTAAAGAAATGATAATGAAAGTGTGATACCACTATGTAATCCAACAGCTTGGCTAAAGTTAAAAAGGCAGACAATACCAAGTGTTGGTGAGGATATGGAGAAACAGGAACTTTCATGCACTGCTGGTAGGAATGTAGATTGGTACCACCACTTTGGAAAACTGTTTGGCAGTATTTTCTACAGCTGAGCATATGCATGCCTATCTCAACACTGTCACTCCTTAGGACATACTCCACAAATATCTGTACATATGGTCACCATAGCACATGTCCAAAACGTTTATAGTAGAAGTATTTGCAATAACTGCCAAACGGGAAATCCCCAGATGTCCATTAACAGTTGAATGGATAAATAAATTGTGGTGTGTTCATACAATGAGATATTATATAACTGAGATCAAACAAACTACACTACATAACATGGATGAATCTCACAAATGTAATCTTGAGGGAAATAAAGCAGACATTAAAAGCACACATTGTATGATTCTGCTTCTATAAAATCAGAGTGACTGGAAGAGGAGATGAGGGAGCTCCCAGAAACTAGTAAAGTTTTGTGTCTTTAACTAGATGCTAGTTAGACATACATGGTCACTTTGTAAAAATTCATTAAGTCATGTGGGTTTTCCCGTGTAATGTTATACTTCCAAATTTTAAAATTTATACAAATTTAAAAAGTACTGAGGAAATATTTCCATCCTGACTGACTTAACAAATAATGATTTTTCTCGCTGTTCCTGTGCATATACTTTGCCAGTTTCCTACACCATCTTATCTTCAAACCACATCCACAACAAATCAATGAGACTAAAATAATATTTCAGTTTTTCCAAGGAAAGGAGAGTATACTTACAAAACTTCTAAAAGCTGCAGTTGTTGTTATTGTTGTTAGGTGCCAAAGAGTCCGTTCCCACTTATAGCGACCCTACAGGACAAAGTAGAACTGCCCCCATAAGGTTTTCAAGGCTGTAATCTTCACGGAAGCAGACTGCCGCAACGGCTGGTGGCTTGGAACCACCAACCCTTCAGTTAGCAGTGAGGGCTTAACCACTGCACCACCAGGGCTCCTTGTGCCACAGCGTTGGCCTTGAGAAATTTCTCTGCCTAGAGTGTGTTCAGAGGAAGTCTTTTTTCTCTGGCTCAGGAATCTATCCTAATTGTGATCAGTTTCCCAGCTTATAGAGAGCTCTAAACTGGGAGAAAGGAGACTTGGGTTCTAGTTCTGACTCTGCTACTGAATAGATCTGTGACATTGAGCAAGTGGCTTCACCCCAGTCCTCTATCCATGAAATGAGACATTGGGTTGGATGCCTTCATCTTGCCCTAAAATTAGGTTAGTCTATGGATTCTTTTTAGTTTTTACATTTTTGTGGGTCCTACCCTACCCTACCCTACCCTCAGAAACCCTGGTGGCGTAGTGGTTAAGTGCTATGGTTGCTAACCAGAAGGTTGGCAGTTTGAATCCACCAGGTGCTCCTTGGAAACCCTATGGTGCAGTTCTGCTCTGTCCTAAAGGATCTCTATGAGTTGGAATCGAGTTGATGGCAGTGGGTTTGGTTTTGGACCCTACCCTCAGGAGCCCTGGTGGTGCAGTGGTTAAGTGCTGGATT